TATTCATCATCAAATACACCCATGTTAAGCGAGTGCAATCATCAATAAACGTAACAAACCCACGGAATCCATTTGAAGTCACACGAGCAGGACCCCATACATCAGAATGGACTAATTCAAAAGGCAAGGCAGCTTTATTATTACTTAAGGGAAAAACAGTACGGTGACTCTTGGCCATTACACAAGTCTCGTAGCGGAATAAAGATGGAAACAGACGCTTAAGGTAGCCAAATGAAGGGTGTCCCAAGCGACGATGCCATAACCAAATTTGCTGTTTGTCTTTGACACTGCAACGTTGAACAGTATCAACGACACAATCACGAACTGGTGCATAAGGTAATATCAAATAATACAACCCCCCATATCCGTTTACCATGCCCAATCACCTCGTGAGTCTTGAGATCCTGAAAAGAGCAATAGGTAGGATAGAAAGTAGCAGAAGCTTTAAGTGTATCAAGTAAGCGACCAACAGATAACAAGTTACAATGGATATTAGGAACTAATAACGCACGAGACAAGGACAGAGTTGGGGTGAGAGAAATGGTGCCCTCGCCAGTAATTGGAGAGGGAAAACCATTAGCACTAGTTATATATGGGTCACGGGTGTTACTAGACAACTCATCAAAAAATTTAGCATTATAAGTCATATGATCAGAAGCACCAGTATCAATTATCCAAGTATTAGAGCCAGTACCTGGAATAGAGTCAGAAACACGCAAATTTGCAGAAGCAGCGGCAGCACCAACAATGGAATTATCACCCATGATTGTAGCAGAAACTCAACAAATCACGCAGGATATACAACAGATCACAGCACAGACACAAATATGGCAGATGCACGAAGACAACAGAGACACAAACACAGTAGAGGCAGATGCACGAACACAGTAGAGGCACGTAGTAAAGGCACGAACACGACAGAGCACAAGGCACAAACACAGTAGAGGCAGATGCACGAACACAGTAGAGGCACGTAGTAAAGGCACGAACACGACAGAGCACAAGGCACAAACACAGTAGAGGCACAAACACGACAGAGCACACAGCGGAACACGGCAAAGGCACAGACACAAGAACCCTAAAAGAAATGAGGGCACACAGTAGAACACGAGTGGGCACAACACACACAGGTCACCAGAAAGTCGGTTCTGATACCAAGTCAAACAATATGGGTAGAATATTTCCAGATATATTTCATTCTCCGAAAGGAGGTATTTATAATACAGGTTACAAACCCTAGTAGGGTTTAATTAGGAAATAAGTGGAATCCTAATTACATAATATCTATACAAAAGGAAAAATAAATAAAACCCAAATAGAATAGGATATATTCTACTCGCCAACAATTTTGTATTAAACCTGATAAAAAGAAAATTTTCATCAATTGCATGTAAGTGATTAATCAAAAGAAAACTCCTTTGCAGATGCATGCCGGAATGATTTTTGAAATTTCAATTTTTTTAAAATTAAATTAGAAGACATTCCGAGTTTTGAATGATTCACTTCCTTTGGATTTTGTGGGTTTAGCAAACTGAGTTTCACCTTAAATTCACAATGATTGATTTTGGCCGCAATGATTGATTTCGGGCCTTTGTTGTATACTTCTATTTATGTTGTTGAGCATTCAAACTCCTGTAATGTTTTGCATATTTAATGAATGAAGTTTTCCTTTAAAAGAAAAAAAAACATCGAGCACTTATGTATTAGAATGGAAAATCTTATGATATGACATTGAAATTATCTGAGCAAAAAAGAAAAAAAGAAGACATTGAAATTTCAAATACACCCAAGCCCAACCTAGTCCTGAATTATGAAAGAAACAACCTTTTCGGCCAAGTCCCCAGCCTTGTAACAACTTGGGTTAAACAAATGAAACACATGGGCCTTGTAACATCCCAACCCAAATAAAAAGGAATAGTAAATTAATTAATTTCAAGAATTGTAAGTTTACAATTTTGCCCTCGGAGTAGGGGTAAAATGGTTATTTTTTATCCGGAAGGATTTCGGGGCAGTGGCTATTACCTTTTCGTAGCTCGTACTGAGACGAGTTCATAGACATGCAGTAGGCTTGAATCGGAGTTGTAACGAAGAAGTTACGATCAAAAGAAGTTCAGTGGTATAACCGTAAATATTTCGAAGTTCAGTTTTAAAACCCAGATTTTCTTCTTCTTCCTCGCGAGCAGCCCGACCAGTCAACTTGAGATCGTGATTTCTCCCACCTCCGGTCTCCGTTTCAGGCAAGACCAGTCCCAAAAGAACCACCACACTTCCCTCTTCCAACCCCAACCCTTCTCCACCACGATCCACAGCCGTAGTCGCCAGAAGGAGCCAAGAAACAGGCGGTTGTGGACAGCTTTTTTGTGAACTTTCGATTTCTCCCACCTCCGGTCTCCGTTTCAGGCAAGACCAGTCCCAAAAGAACCACCACACTTCCCTCTTCCAACCCCAACCCTTCTCCACCACGATCCACAGCCGTAGTCGCCAGAAGGAGCCAAGAAACAGGCGGTTGTGGACAGCTTTTTCGTGAACTTTCGCCGGCTCGTTCTCCCTCCTCCGGCCACCGTTTCAGGCGAGTTAGGTATGGTTTCTCACCTATTTTTCGTGATCTAGCTGCTGGTTTTGTAGAATTGCGTCAATTTTGAGCGTAGGTAGTTCGATTTTCGAATTTAAGTTTGGCCGGACTTCGGGTTGAATTTCCGGCCACTTCCGGCCACTTTTTGGGGTATGTCCAAGAACAAAAGTGGCTCCAAATTAGGTGTTTTACCTAAGGTAGGAGTCTTGGGCCGTGATTTTCAGATTTTCCGGCGAAGCGATATCGCTTTGGACATCCACGCGCTGCCAGCGCGTGGACACTGTAGCAGAGGGGCATTCTATCCTAAAATGATCTCCTAATTGTCACGAGTGCATAGGAATTCGCGGATCTCAATTCGGATAACGTTTGAACCCCGAACGGATTTTACATATCTTGTGTTATCCGGGTTCGATATGTTAGAACCGTTGGATCACTTCCAAATTCATATATGCTGTTCCTTGTATTCCTAGGATCGTGTAAGAATTCACGGATCGTGAATCGGAGACCCGGATGTTCCGATTCAATAACTTAAAGGTTGTGTTTTACGATAATCGTCCGATCGTGCGTGCATGAGTGATCCGACTGTCCGATCGGGACCAACTTCCAAGATGTGTATCTTAGACCTTGTGGAACTCTTAGGAACTTCCGGATCATAAAACGGAGGTTGTGGGCCCCGTAGGCCCGGTTGGCCAAGTTTGGACAGTTTGATTCTCGGTTGACCATGAGTTTTCCGAGGTTGTTTTACCCTTCGAAAAGTATTAGGATAACCTTGCGAGAGAGTCTAGGGTCTCAGTTTTGAATATTAGTATTTAAGTGGACGTTTGTCTTCAAGAGTGTTTAGTTTTTATTTATGGAATTCTTGGATATTATTTGATAATAGAAATTATGAAATGGATGAGTATGGGATACTCGATTTGTTGGGTTGTGAAAGTGAGTCTTGGGACTCGGTTATGATTATTGGAAATAAATGGCATGATTTTGTAATGGAAGTATTATATATGAATGTAATGGTTTATCGAAATGCATTTTATATTTATTGGTTGAATTTATTATCTTTGTAAGTATTTGTGATATATGTGAGTTTTGACATATTCTAGTATCTGGAGTTATATATATACAATACTCGGAAAAGTGCTATGTTTGTTGGATATGTGTGGGGTACTTGGGATGTGGTTGTGAGATGAGGAGAGATGTGAGTTAGAATGTTAGTTTGAGTGCTATTAGCACTACCTTAGGTACCTCCCTGGATATAAAATATACTTGAGTTTACTTTCTATGCTATGAATAGGTATTGTGGGAAAATTGAATTAAGAAAGGGAATATTATTTTATAATATTTATATAAGGATTACGAACTCCACCATCATACGTACCTCCCCCTTGGATGATGATACTTGGAAACAATGGAAACGAATATTTGGAAACAGTGGATATGGACACTACCAATAGAGTATTCACCCTGTCCCTAATGCTTTCCTCGTTTGGTAACTTCCAAGTCAGTCGAACCTCCACCAGTACTGTCTGCTACTTGTGGCGATCTCTGTTTTTTTCTTTGGAGGACATGCAAACTCTGAGCTCGCTGTGCGAAAGCAGATTTCAATACCGTCCATGTAAGCCTCTGCGCAGTACAAGAAGAAACAATCCAATTACCAGACACATGTCGTTGGTAAAATAGAAACAAATCATATAGAGGTAACAAAAACATGTACTAACATGTAAATGATGATGATAAGTTTTAGTTGATCACTATTTGAGTGCTACATAACTTGGAGTTTCTAATCACAGCTGGAGCTGCCTATATAGTTTGTTTATACCCAAATAAATGCATTGTTAGTGAATTGCCCAGCACAACTATTCATTTTCTTTCCCCACATGTTTTTTCCATTTGCTTGTTCTTTGAATTTGGCAGGAAGACTTTATCTTGTAAACTCCTTATATATGGGATCTGTGCAGTGACCGATCCGTGAATTTTTCTTATTGGGGGCAAGATGTAGACCAAATCTACAAAATCTACCACACGTTTCATACATCATTCAAATACTCAACAAGTAACAAATAAGGGTGCTAGATACTTATAAATCTGCAATCCACAGAGTCACCAAACCTTCCACAGCTGCCGAGAATACCCAGTCCACGCCACTTTGTCTCTCTAACCTGCCTTGCTCAACAGAGCATCAATGGAACTTCATGGGCAGTAAAAAAAGTTGAGTAGGGCCAATAGTCGTCACTATCCCCTCAAGTGGATCTGTCACTGGATGTGTGGTGTATGTTTTATATCAACCATTTTAGGTGAGCTACATCAGCCATAGAGTTCTAATCCTACTTCAATAAAATCTAGAGTGTTTTCTCAATTTATTTGTTTCTCCTTTTAGTTCTCTGTTCAATTTCTTTGAGAATGTACCAAACTGGAACTAATGCGTACTTGTTCCCAACACACTAAATAGAACAAGGATAATTCCCTTGGAAATGATAGCCAAAATCATCATCATCAGTCATGTGATAAAATTAGATATAGTACTAACTTACCCCATGATATGATGCAATAGTTTCCAAAGTGCTTTCTGTAATGTCAAGAGCTGTCATGTCGCTATCATTCAAGAGCTTTATGTTTGTCCTCGTATCCCAAGCCAATCTGTAGACAACCTTGGGATGGTGGTGCATCGTTGCCAAATGTAAAGGAGTATTTCCGTTCCTGTCTTTTTGGTTTATCAACATTCGAAACTCACCCTTTTTGAGAAAATATTTGACAAGATTGTCTTTACCGCATCTTGCTGCAACATGGAGTATATTTTCGCCATTAGAGTTCTTCAATTCCTTTGAATTGGGACAATGTCGAAGCAGCTCTTTAACAATCTTGACATGACCTTTGCTTGATGCTGAATGGATTGGAAAGTTGCTGCCATGATCCATTTGATGAGAATCAGAGATGCGTCTGCCTAATAAGAAGCGAACCCCTTCTACATAACCAATTGATGCTGCAGAATGTAGCGGAGTCTTCCCCTTCTCATCTTTTGAGCTCAGAAAAATTTCCTCCATGCTTGATACTATCTTTAAGATTTCTAATGGAGCCAAAGTATAAATTAGAAAAATATGAGTCTAATGAGCGTTTTTCTTTCAAGTTGAAAATGTAATAATAATAAAAAATTGGATCAAAAATCCATCACACTAGCCGTTGTGGCAAAGCAGAAAAACAGTAGTAGTATTAATTGAATGTACTACCGTACCATTGTTCCGGCGGCCTAGAATTGCAGCATGCAACGGAGACTTGCCATTAACACGAACTTCTGGCTTTTTCTCAACTGCTTTTTTGTTTATTAGTTTCACGATCTCATCAAACCCTTCCTCAGCGGCCAGATACAAAGGGGACTTTGCTTCCTTATTAACATAAAAAGAAAAGGCAGGATAGGCCTCTATCAAACACTTTGCTACTGATTGGTGACCATGAATCAGGGCCTCGTGCAAGGGAGTGTTTTCCTCATCATTTATCCAGGTCCGCAACATGAATACCACATCAGCATTTTCAGCGCCTGGGGCTTCACGGAGAAGAGTGTTCGCTGTATCTAAATCCCCAGCTTTGGCCGTCATGTGGAGCGCAGTGTCGCCCTCAAAGTTTTTCTCAAACAAAAGGGGCTTGTGAAGGTGTATGATCTCAGCTGCTAGTTTCGCATGGCCGAAGCTTGCAGCTATGTGAAGGAATGTATTCTTATGAGGGCTTAGTCGAGACAGAAGCCGAACGCGAGCATTGGGATCGTGTACTTCATCTGCCTCAAGCTTCCTTTCAATGGTGTCCTTAAAGCTATCTATCTTGCCCTGAGTTGCGTAGCAGTACAACTGCTGGTACAAGCGCAAGCTACTTGAATCTTCTTCGCCATCTGTTTGCTCAAGGAGTCCTTCATCGAATTCCTCCGATGGTTTTGATACATTTGGTACGTCCCTAGTGCCATATTGCGCTACGAATTTTACATCTTCCACAAGGGTTCTATTGTGCATGGGTAGATGAAGAACGGGCCTTTCGTGGACTACCTTCTTCTTTGTCAATTTCTTTGATGCATTCTCCCTTGTCCCATGGAAAGCATTAGCATATTGCGCACTGAATTCTACATCTTCCAAAGTGGTCCGCACAAAGGACAAGCTGCTTGAATCTTCATCGCCATCTGTTTGCTCAAGGAGTCCTCCATCGAATTCCTCTGATGGTTTTGTTACATTTGGTACCCCAGTGCCATGGTAGACATTAGCATGTTGCGCTGCGAATTGTACATCTTCCAAGGCGGTACACTCTATTTCCTCGAGGAGTGTTTGATCGAATTCCTTTGATGGTTTTGTCACATTCGGTACCTCCCTTGTGCCGTGGTAAACATTAGCATATTGTGCACCAAATTTTACATCTATCAAAGCGTCTTTTTGGTACATGGGCAGATCGAGGACCACTGCTTCTTTGCGGGACACGGGCTGATCACTAGCCAAGCTTCGAAGGTCCACGCCGTCATCTTCGTCCTCAGCTATGCTGATGCTTGCAGCTGTACCCTCATTGGTGGCCGCACGCAGCTCTTTGTCTGCCATATATGGACTTCAACGTTGCCTTAGATTCCGATCTGCACTTCAACGTTGCTATAAGCTTATATGAGGAGCGCTAAAGTGTTAACTGAAAATTAAGTAATTATATACAATTAGTGGTCTACGTGTCCTTACCAAATACTGGAGGTTTGGAGGAGCCTGAGAGAGAACGATAGATATAACAACTACAACTCAATGCCACATGTATAATAGAGTAGGAAGTAGCTAGTTAGGAAGACAGACAACAGAGACTCCGACAGAAATAGAAATTATACAGACAAAAAAGAAGACATTAGACGAACCATGTGTTTAGTGTGTTTACTGGCTCTATATATATATATCAATTCATCCAAATGGTGTTGCCAAGAAATATCATGAATTCAAACTTATGCTCGAAAGATGGCCCAACAAAGAAAAAGATAAAGTAGAGAGAGAGAGAGAGTAGCTTTGTTCAAGTCGATGTTGGGTCCATGCATGGAAGGCACCAGAAAAGCACGTGTTTATTGTGTATATTTTTTTAATTCAGTCTTGATGTTGATGCGCGCAAGTCTACTTACGTGGCATCAATTGGATACTCCATCCAAGTGATAAGGTAATTAATATTGTAACTCCGATATAAAATGAAGCCAAGTCTAAAATCTCATGCGGGCCCTACCAAATTAGCTACCCAACGACATTGTCACTGCAATAATTCTGGGAATAATAGACCATTATCTGATCAACAAATTGGGACCGTTTATCAGTTTGTTTCCCTCCATAATTATTTAGATGAAACGAGCGACAAACAGTGACGGATCCATGATTTTATCCTGAATAAATCAGTGTGGGAAAATTGCCAAATGTTTGGTAAACGAAAAATACCATGAAAAATTAAAAGTTACTACAAAAATGTGAACTAGCTTTTTAACATTTATCACCATTCTATTAACTAGCTTTTTCATATATACTAAGCCAAAATACACCCTTGCATGTTATATCCAAGTCAAATCCATCTCTCATAACGTTTTAATTGCCGCTGTCTTTGAGGGATTTCAGTTGGGGGGCACGCCGGGTCGCTCACCCCAAACCTTTCAAGGGGTCACCGACATAGCTTGCAGAGAAAATTTACGGCATCCACGGGGTCGCTTGATCAAATTTGGCCCTCTGTCCATCTACCCTTGGAGGCTGGACATGTGGCTCTCTTGGTTATGCAACTACTAATTCACTTACAAGTATTTTTCTTATCAGACACCCTTGTAGATACATCTGTTTTTTCAGCAACAAATTGTCCAAGTTTTTAACCTTTCACATAAAAAGGGTACATGATTGATTCTCTCATTGTTATTGATGATGTTATTAATCAACCTAAAAAAGTCTAGGTTGGATTTAATGTCATATTTCAACCTAAAAAAGTCTAGATATGGTCCCTAGCCTTTTGGAAAACACTGAACTGCTTTATTTGCTAGGCAGATCCCCATCAAGGCAGACCAAAACAAACGAAAAAACAATCATCCACGTGATGCTTGATACGGACAGGACGAGGGTTACTTCCAAATGAGAGAGAGAGAGACCCTACCCGACCCTGAGACCCTACGCCAACCCCCTCAACAACCCTAGTCACCATTTCTCCTTCAGCTACAATAGTGACTCATTAAAACCCAATTCTTAAATGCAACAATCCAATCCCAATCCCAATCCCAATTCAGATGTTTCCAAAAAAAACCATGGTGGTCGTGGTGGAGAACTACAATTCCATGTGATGGTGGTCGCACAGGAGAGAAAGAACAAAAAAAAACAAAAAAAAGAAGAGGAAGCTGCAACGTCGAGGAGAGAGTTTTTTTTTTTTTTTGTTAAAATATTATTTTACTTTATTTTTTCATTTTAAATACTTTAAAAGATTAAAATTAAAGAAGATGTACCATGAATATTTTTGGTAGTTAAATAGAGTGCACTTAGTTAATTTTACATTTTAATTTAAACATTAGGATGTACTTAGATTATAGGGTGTACTTAGTTAATTTTAGGGTTCGTTTAACAGCACTCAAATCTAAAATGCAGAAAAAAAAATGATAAAATTAAAGACATCATTAAATAAATGCTTAAAATACTGTAGCATTTAATTATAGAGAGGAGTCATTTCTCTCTCCTTAGATTTTGGAGCTCCTAAAGGTCTACCTATTTTAGGAGCTGGATAGGGAGCATGGTTGGAGACGGGTTTTTTCAATAGCCCATTGTGGATGCTCTAACCGAACACTTCGAATTTGCCATTTTCGAAGATTGACATTCACTTCAACTAACTATGGTCTGAGCATCCGACTAGGTTCGGTCAGTTTCGATGAGAAACCAAGAGAGAGGAGTACGGTGGCAATCTCCAGATGAGAGGCGAATTGGCACAGTAGCAAGAAAAGGATTAGGATCGAAAGGCACGAGCCACGCAGGGCTCTAATACCATGCTAACAGAGGTTGAAGGTATAGAATAAAGAAGAAGTTTCATGAGAATTTTGAGAGAAAATAGAGAAACCAAATCTGAATTTTCTATAACTCTTATTTCTGAATAATTCATTTTACACAGTAAAATTACACTTATAGAAAAACAGTCTAACTAATCTACCAGACTAAACACATGAGTCGTTTTAACAACCTAACAGTAATGCCAGGTCAACTTAACCATTAGCCAAACACCCTCCCTCAATGTCTTGCAAAGAAAGGACCATGTAATCCTTTGGTGAATACATTTGCGACTTGTTCATTAGTAGGTATGTACTGCACATTAAGATCTTTTCGCTGAACACGCTCCCTTACAAAATGAAAATCAATGTCCAGGTGCTTGATCCTTGAATGATAAACAGGATTTGAACTTAAAGCCAAAGCAGAGAGATTGTCACAATGCATTAAAGGAGGCTCTGGCAAGAACTCATGTAAATCTGCTAACACCTGTCGAATCCAACCAATGTCCGCAGCAATATTCGCTAAAGCGCGATACTTTGCTTCTGTAGAACTCCTAGCACATGTTCCCTGTTTCTTTGATTGCCATAAGACTGGATTATGACCAAGAAACACTATGAAACCTGTAGTTGATCTTCAAGTAGAAGGATCTCCAGCCCAATCGGCATCGCTATAAGCTGTTAGTTGCATTGGACCAGAACAAAATGTAATGCCATATTGAAGTGTGCCTTGAATATATCGTAAAATTCTTTTCACAAGATAGAAATGAGTCTGTAGGATTTGTCATGTATTGGCACACAGTGTTCACTACATAGGCAATATAAGGCCTTGTGAATGTCAAATATTGTAAAGCGCCTACCAAGCTACGAAACAAAGTTGGATCCTTCAATGGTTCACCATCTATTGTCAGAATTTGAGAATGAGGTTTGCAATTTGTTGAGCATGCCTTGCAACTGCTCATGCCTGCTTTAGCTAACAATTCCTTATCATACTTATGTTGATTAACAAAGATAGTTCCTGTGGATGCATAAGAGATTTGCAGCCCTAGAAAGTAAGTAAGTAATCCCATATCTTTGAGTTCAAATACCGAAGCTAAATTCTCAATAGTTTCTTGAACAAGAGATGTATTTGAGCCTGTCAAAATAATGTCATCTACGTAGAGCAATAAAACAATGATATATGAACCTGTATGCTTAATGAACAAACTCGGATCAAACTGGAACACTTTGAAACCAATAGCTGGAAGATAACCCGTGAACTTAGAGTTCCATGCCCTAGGTGCTTGCTTTAATCCATACAAGGATTTTTTCAATTTACACACAAACTGAGGCTTTTATGGATCTTCAAAACCCTGTGGTTGCCTCATAAACACTTCCTCATCCAAGTCACCATGTAAAAACGCATTCTTGACGTCCAATTGCCTTAATTTCTAGCCATGCATTGCCGCCAAACTAAGCACAATTCGAACAGTAGTATGCCTTACTACGGGGCTGAAAGTCTCTGAATAATCAAAACCAAGTTCTTGACTAAAGCCCTGAGCCACCAACCTTGCTTTATATCTGGATATAGTACCATCAGAATTTCTTTTAATTTTATAAACCCACTTACTGCCTACTACATTCTTATGCAAAGGAGGAGGAACCAATATTCATGTACCTTGCATATGAAGAGCATCAATTTCTTCTTGCATAGCCTTTTTCCATTCGGAAGAAAAAGAAGCAACTCTGAAACTTGTTGGCTCTTCTAAG